GCCTCTCAGGGATGCTGGAGCCAGAAGTTCCCCTTCCCACCCTCTTGCTGGGCTCTGGTCCTTCAAGAGCCACCTGACAACACTCAGCTTGGGACCGTCCCTGGTAAGGGTGGGGGTCCTTGCAAAGCCGTGCCAGACACATCCGTGGGAAACCTGATTTGTGCTCTTCTGCTGAGCTCCAGCAGAAGAGCTGAAGTTCTTGGGAGGACTGGGAGAGTCCAGAAACCCCAGTGTCCGCCCGGCACCCCGAGGCGTTTGGCCCAAGGACGGCTCTGAAAGCATGACTCTTGCTGGTGCTGGCGAGGCCGGGGGTGGGGGGCTGAGCTGGGGGTGCCCTGGGGAGCGGTGGTGGGTGGAGAACTCGTCTCTTGTTACTGATTTGCTATTCCTTGGCTTTGCACCAGGTTTCAGATTCAGGCGGGGCTTTGCGAATTCACAATTTTTGTTTTGTTGCAGTGCTCTGCGATGGCCGCGCTGGTGTTGGGGGTCTTGGGGCAACAGCTCTGGCATCGTTCCCTCCCCCAGCACCTCGTTGCCACCAGTGCAGGGAGCTGAGCCTGTCCACCCGAGCTGGTGCAGCTCTGGGTGTGCACAAGCCCCTGCCCTTTTGGCCAAACTTTGCACAGAGCAATGTGGATTCCACTGTTGTATAAAAAAGAGCCCGAGGCCCTGCTGTTGGACCTCCTGAAGCTGTTTCTGCCATTCAGACACAGGTTGGATTTGGAGGGCTCGGTGCAGTGGGCTGGGGCTCTCCTCACTTTCTGGGGCCACCAAACACAGACAAGTTGGGATGTTGGTACCCGATGTGCAACATCGTGATATAACGATGCCCTGAGGGAACCCCCAGGTCCAAAGCGGCCGCAGCTCAACCTGCTTCTGCTGACAAGCCCAAGCTCCACCTTGAAGCATGCGTCAGCCCCGGGTCCCCCTGTGGACCCCAGCCCCCGTCTGTCCCACAGCGTTCTGGCCCCAAAACGCCCCATCCCACCACACCCAGACCCCATGGCCTTGAGCCACTCAGCACATGCTGAGCTCAGATCCCCTGACCCTCCAGCACAGCCCCTCCACATGTGTGACACCCGCAGCAACCCAGTTTTCGGCTGCTCACGGAGGTTTTGCTGGGGGGGGCTGAAGCCCGGGCGCACCGTCATGTCGGGAGCTGCTGGGGGCCACAGGCTGGCAGCGCCCGTCGGGGAGCGATGGCCGGTTTTGGGGAGCGGCAGCATTTCATAACTTGAGGAACACTTGTGCTCTCGGCAGCGCCTGGCGCCGTTTGCCTGGCTGTCGCTGGAGGGAGCTGCCCCATCCCTCACGGAGATGTTTGGACCAGCTGCAGTTCGAGGAGTTGTTAAAAGCGAAGGAGCTGCAGGATTGCAAACGGATTGCAGAAGAACACAGAGACCCAGGACTGGCTTCTTCTGCAGAGGGACTTTGAAGGGCCCCCGGGATGCCGCACGCTCCGGAGTGGGACCCGTGGTGTGGGGGGGGCACTGGTGTTGATGGGATGGGGAGATTTCCGCGGCAGAACAGGGTGAGACTGAGACACAGAGGAAAGCAGCAGCTGGAGTTCTGGGCTAGGGCAGGATTTGGAGCATTCAGCCTTCCCCTGGCTGGCATTTGGTACCGGCTGGAATTGTCCCCTGGGCACCTCCTGCAGATGCTGAAGATCAAATGCACCACTGGGACACAAACCCCAGACCTGCCAAAAAAATAAAACCCTGGCAACGAATCACTATGGAACAGCTCCTTCACCAGCTCCTTCTCGATGCATAAAACCCACGATCGCTTCAGCATCCAGACTAAAACACAGCACTCCAGTATCTGCTGCTGCGCCCAGGGACTAAACAAGCTTTAAATTAAGCAAATGGAACATTAAAAATGTATTTCTGAAGGCAAGAGGGAGCAGATACATAGCACAGAGCCGGGTATAATGGGCTGTTTGTGCAATTGCGCTTGGGGCTATCATTAACCCCGGGTTTTTTCCCCAGGGAAAGACACAGGAGCTAGGGCCACATTTAGGTACATCAGGTATTTATACAGCTGCTCCAGGGGACTAGAGCAGCCTCTTGCCTCTTCCTTCTGCAATGAGCAATTTTCATCCCCCTTCCTTGACCAGCTACAGCAGCACTTGCTATTTTCTCCAGCACCAGTATTAGGCTGCATGCCTGGGATCATGAGCACGGCTGGAGCTTACCTCCATCATCTCCAAGGTTTCCACTCCATCCCCAGCTCATTTCATTCCTACATATGCAATCAGTCCCCAGAAGTTGCAATAAATGCTTTTGGAGATGACTATGCATGGATGAGATGAGCAGGTAAAAGGCTGCTACTTCCTGGGGCTTGTCCTGCTCAGCTCTTGCCTTTAACCTGCCCAGATCATTCAGACCTCAGCCTCTGCTCTTGTTCAAGGAGCTGGCACATGGTTTTGCAGCCAGCTACAAGGAATATCTCCCTGATGCAAAGAAGGTCTGCCGTCAGGGAGTAAGAAAAGCCAGCTCATTGTCACTTGTAAACTTCCTGCCCCAGGGCCCCGTTTCCAGAGGGAAAAGAAATTTAGAAGCCCATAAACTTCAAACAGACTGGAAACTACTGCTGGGGGCTATAGCAGGGCTTTATCTCAGGGAGTTCCCTAAGGCTACAGCTGAAAACTGAGGCCAGAAGGAAGCACTGTGCTCAGGTCAAACTTCCAGCAGGTGAAGTTTCTGAATGCAGAGTCCTCACATAGCTCTGCTACGGCAAACTGCTGGGCAAACAATCCAGGCAGGACAGTTACAGGCTTGTTTTTATTAAAAGACATCTTCAGAAAAGATATTTTAGTACAAAAAAAAAGTTTAAAATACACAAACTACAGTTGCTTTTTTTTTTCCAGCATCACCAGTTATAAATTACACCACATTGTTATTAACACTGCATTTAAATATGGAAACAAATTAAAACAGGAAATTCACTGACAAGATCCAACATCCTACAAATGACTATTTACAGTAACGTAGCAGCTAGGAGCTCTAGCACAGCAGTCAATATGACTTGAATAGGGCAGGATGCTTGGGAAGCCCCAAGATGGCAGCTTGGCCCATAACAGTTTTTGGGGACCTGTTTTGCCCACCTGTCCCCAGACACCCCCCCCCAAAGGCAGAGGTGATGCTGCACATCAGGGTATGCAGCTGACAAAGCGGTGCAGCTGGTGCAGAGAAACCCTCTTGTCCCCTGGCCCTTTAGAGACAGTTTTGGGGCACGCATGGGGGACAGTGTGCTCTGCAAAGTACAGGGAGTCTTTTGGAGAAGGCAGCCCTGCAGGCTTCGGGGGCATTTACAGCTGACAGCAGGGCTGGTCCTGCCCTGGGACAGTCACTGCTCTGTACCTGGGCTGTCCTAGTGCTCGTCCTGACCACCCCCATCAACACGGGTAGGCTCCAGGTAGAGCCTGAGACTCAGCCCTCCAGGATCAGGCCCTCGTGCAACCAGCTGCAGGATCCCACCCATCGTCTCCTGGAGCTGGAAGCCGTTTCCCCAGCTCCGGGCAAATTCCAGCCCAGACAGAAATTCAGGGCTTCAAAGCCATGGGCACCAGGGAAGCCAAGCGAGCCCAAGGTCCCCTTCTGCACAGGGTGTCCTGCAGCCTTCCCACCAAAACCCAGCGGGGTGAAGTCACCGGAGGGGGTGCTGTGCAGATGGAGCTGCCCGAGGCTCACCACCCCATGGCACCAGTGGCAGAGGCTCTTTTACAGGAGGGTACATCATTTGGGAACAACAGCGAGAGACAGGACGCAGCAAGGCTCCGTACTCAATGCTTGGGTCCAGGGTAGTGAAACACTTCACGTGCTCCCCTCCCCCCCCAGCCCCAGCTCATCAAAAACAGCACAGAAGTGTTCAGACATGTCACAAAGTACCAGACAACTTGAACTTGCCACAGCAGCATGTGGCAGGTTGGAAGACCCCCTGTGCATGCACTGGAGGGGGATCTCCCTGCTTCTGGCTCCTCTTCTGCTTTGGGAGCTCCCATCCAGGGGTTTCAGCAGCGTGGAGCTGTTTTACATATAGCGAGGAGCTGTGTCATGCCACTAAAGGGCTGCTAACCGAGAGAAACGCTCCTCGGGGGACTTCGCGGGGAGGGTGGGTTTGTTTTCTGTAAACAACAAGTGATGGAGCTCAGGTCTGTGCTCCACAGAGAAGGTCAAGTCTCAAGAGGCAGCTTTAGGCTTCCGCTTCCAGTGCTGCAGGTTGGATTTTCATGGTGGTTGACTTCAGCGGGTAGTACCTGCCTTTCCATGTCTTCCAGAAGATGCCCTGCTTGCGCTCGTGCCTCTGGCGGGGGATGGAGCGGAAGTACTTCCCGTTGAGGTTGGCATGGCCACAGGTGCTGAACCACCAGCCACCTACCAAGGCAACGTGGAGGCAGATGTAACCCACAGCACTTCCAGACAGAAAACAAACGCAGGTTCAGGGCAGCTGCTGCCCCATTTTCCCCACTTTTCTCAGTCTTTGAGACCTTATACGACCACCTTGCACACCCTTGAGAAGTCCCACGCCCTGGGAAACCTTTGCACAGATCTCCTAGGACTTCAGGATGCATCTGCAAATCCCTGCTGCTCTTTGTCGCATGCAAAATCCCCTCAAACCCTTCAGCAGCCCCACCTCAGGCCTGGGGACTGGCCTCTGCTTTGCTTGAAAGGTTTCCAAGCAAGGTGGCAGCCAGCAAGGCTGTTGGGAAGACACGTGCTTGGGCCAAGACCACAATCACAAACACCTCCTGGTTTCAGCTTCCCTCCTCATTCCCCGCACGGCTCCTCCCAAGGATGCAGCTTCCCCAGGGGGCAACCCGCGCCCAACACCAAGGAGCTCTAGTCCCACAGGGTCCCCGTCCCACCAACGACCACCACCAGACAGCAGAGGGCTGGAGGGAAAGCGCGTGCCCCTGGGAGGGAAGGGCTCGTACTGACCTGAGAGGTGTTTGGCACAGTTTGTGTCGGCTTTGAGGTCGTGGTCGCGGTCCCGAGTGGAGAAGGGCAGCTGCCTGAAGTCCCCAATGGCGTTTTCCAGCTCTCCAGACAGAGGTCCCAGCAGGTTGAGTGTATAGGCCGTGCTCTCACCACCGAGGCTGAAGACAAACTGAACCACCTGGGAATTTCCCTCCCAGTCTTCCAGCTCGATCAGGAGATGATGTCTTCCCTCTTGGACAAGGTGATGGATCTTCTCCAGGCCCAGCCAGAAGTCACCTGAAACAAGACACATTGGCTGCAGGGACACAGACATGGCCCATCCCTGCAGGGGTTCAAGGCCAGGCTGGATGAGGCTTTGGGCAACCTGGGCTGGTGGGAGGTGTCCCTGCCCATGGCAGGGGGTGGCACTGGGTGGGCTTTGAGGTCCCTTCCCACCCAAACCATTCTGGGATTCTGTGATGCTGTGCAAAGCTGACATGTGAACAGGCTCCAGAGACAAACAGGGACAACACAGGACACTGCAGCACTTGAATCATGTCTGGCACGTGCAGGGCAAGTCAGAAAGACCAAGGACTCTCAGGGTACAAGCAGTGTCCCCCCTTCCTCAGCCCAGCGCTGTGCTCTGGCCCGTAGAGATCTCCAGGGACAGCAAGAGGGAATGCTCATGCTACGGGATCACTTCTCCCATGGGAAGAAGATAGCCACCATCATTCACCTACCATGAAGGTCTCCAAAGCCATTCTTGTAGGCATCCCAAAGCTGGTCAAAGTCCACAGAGCCATCTGTGCGCCTCTGGATCACTGTCCAGCCACCATCTGCGGGCAGGGAAAACACAGTCACTTGGGTTTGCAAGACCACCGTGCGAAGCACCGCGGGACATCTCCAGCGCTTTACCTGCCGTCATGTCACAGTAGACTTTGAAGGGCTGAGACCCTGCAGGCTGCACCTGGAAAATGCCGCTGCTCTGCTGCCCAGTCAGGAAGAGCTGGTGGCAATCCTCCGGGAGCTCTGTGGGGGAAGGAAACAGCCGCTGAGAAGATGGCCCCGAGCCCTGCTTCCTCAACAGGTTGCTTCTACCACGGCCCCGGCACTTGCAGCCCTGGCCACCAGCCCGGCCAGCTGTGCGCAGTGGTGGCTGCGGCTCTGGACACGTGCTGAAGACGACCCCTGACTCCAGCATCTTTAAACGCTATGACCCCGTATCTTCCCATTTATCCAAACACAGCTCCCTGGGCGCCCATCCAAGGCAGAAGCCAGGCGTCAGGCCAGGCTGGAGTGACCGAGTCAGCTCCCTGCTGAAGGGCCCAAGTTACCATTGCACCATTAGATTTCTTCTGTGGCTTTCACCTTTAGTGCTGAAATCAGGCTTGAAGATGGCCACAGCCTTTGCAGAGCACTGCTCAAAGGTCTGTACAAAACTAGACCCTAAAACCAGTGTTAGTTCCAGTAGTTTTATGGGATTGTTTCCAAGGAATTTTAATCTCATCTTCCCAAAGAGCTAGGGTGACTTTTAGGGTTTCATTCCCTCAGAAAACTGTTCATACTGTGTTGCCACAGAAGCATCCACCTGGTCTCTACTACAAAGACGGAATAATCTCAGCTCATAAATTCTGCCAGTAGTGAAAGCCAAATTTACTGCAGATTACAAACACATGGGATGAGCGGATAGACTGGACAGATATAACACTGAGGCCAGATGAATCCAGGTGCCAAAATTTGCCAAAGTGTGCAAATGAGGTGGGAGAGACACAGGAGGAAGAGCAGTTTAGTGAGGTCTCAGCGCGACTCCTTACAGCTCCAGGGTGAAGCCGGTCAGTGATCAGCACGTGTTACATGACACGTACATTTACACGACATATCCAGGGAGCACAGCTCCCAGCGAGGAGACACCCGAGGAGCTTCCTGGTGCCTGCAGTGGGCAGGAGCAGCCCGTGGGAAGCGCCGGGGCCCAGCCCCGTCCAAGCAGCCCCATCACCCCCCAGGCTGGAGCAGTCTCAAAGAAGACAGAGAACCCCCAAGTCCTGACACCAGGATGGCTCCCGAGCATCCTGCACACGAGCTCTCGCTCCCGGTGACAGCAGTGGCCCTGGCCAGCCATCCCTACCGTGCAGCCGGCCACCAGCAGGCACGAGGCCAGGCTGGGGTGACCCTTTTGCCCAAGACACAGTGACCGGGGCAGGGAAGGGGTGGGGGGACCGCAGGGAGCCCCAGCTCATTGCACGAGTGGATTTCCCAGGGTGAAGCCACCCCCC